ATAAATTATGAAGGCTTACTGAGGAGTAAACTGAGTTAGTTTACCACACAATAACAATAAAAAACAGAAAAGAATATCCGATGGTTTATTTGTTATAACTAGATACTTTTCTTTTCTTTACATGATTGAAATTTCATTTCGTAACAGTATGTTTTCGCTGTCTGTATCTGCCTAATGGACTAACTTCAGAGAGTTTGCATAATTCATAATCCTACAAATCCCAGCATTTGATCAGTAAACCTCCCCTTTAAGTCCTGTACATTTTCTTTTCGATTTGGTGCTGTCAATTTGGTGTACCTCATCACTTTTCTTCTGGAAAATATATTGAAACTGTGAGAAGAAGTTACAGCTCAATCACTTCTTCCGAACCAAGAAAATTCAATCCAGGTATTGGGGTAATATATCGCAAATAAGCGCCAAAGATTGTAAAACGTGCAATAGCGGAGTTAATATTCTACATTGAAGAATTCAATCTACAAATATTTCAGAACTTGTAAGAAATAGACAACTTTTTTGAGAGACATGTTTCTGCATGCTTATGCCATCTTCAATCAATGAGTAACTGAACGTGAGTAATTATACAGCATAGAAGTAGGTGAATAAAATATTTACAGTATGATGTAATAGAAAATCGGGAACTAATTACAACGTGACAACAAACATCAAAGGTGTGAACTAAAACGCTAGAAAAGCGTTATAATGCTGTAGTTGTTTGTTAAGTTCAGGTTTGGTCTTATCTATATAAAAAGCTTCTTTGAATTTTAAATCAATTGAGTTGTTAGCAGAATCTAGAATACGGCCAAAGTAAGAAAGGGAATATTTGTTTTTACAAGAAGGACATGTGTTGAAATGCTTAAAAATATGCGAGTTGTTATCGCTTTCTGTGTGCTTCTTTATCCCAGTAGAGAAGTGGCGACTAGTTTCGCCAATATAATGGGAATTACAACCCGCACAGGTAAATTGGTAAACTACCACGGATTTTAGAGCATCAGGAGTACGATTTTTAACACTGAACATGTTTTTAATTTTAAAAGAAGTGAAAACAAGTTTGATATTAAGGTCCGATTTGCAAAAGCGCTTAGTGAGTTGTCGGACTTTAAGGTTCGCTATATTAGAATAATAGCCGACAAAAGGGAGTTTAAAGTAACGTGTATTATTGTCATCAATGTTCCGGCTATTTTGAGAGGAGGACCCGTAAAGATACCGCTTGAAAGCTCTCTTAATAATATGCGGAGGAAAAGAATTACGTTTGAAGTGTCAGAAAGTTTATTAAGATCGTTTTGAAGGCCGGAAGAGGTGTTGTTGATTTTATAGATGTGGTCAATAAGAGTTCGGATAAGGCCAATTTTTTAACATGATGGAATAAAACTAAAGAAATCTGTTAGGAGACCAGTGTAAGTTTTTTTTTTTTATGAAAAACTGAAAAAACACAATCATTCGAAGAGTTGTCGATAAATATATCAAAAAAGGAGAGTTTACCATCATTCTCTTTTTCGAAAGTGAATTTGATGTTGGGGTGCCGTGAATTAATGTAATCAAAAAACGACATAGCATCCCGTCGGGAGATGGGAGCTCATTCATCACGGCCAGGGATATGAAGAACCTTGTTCCAATTCCCAAGCGGAAGCAGAACCCCGTCTCGCGAACTGCTTCTGAACTTGCAGTACCAAAGTTTTTATTTACAAATGTATGTAGTCTGGCCAAAACTAAGAACAGAGTTCGAGCGGCAGTGGAACTGGAAGCCGAATTGAATAGTAAAGACATTGATGTCTGGATTGTATCAGAGACGCAATTAAAACCAGAAATGCCGGATGCTGTCGTCAACATTCCTGGCTATTCTATATTCAGACGGGATAGAAACTGGTCCGGACTGGATAAAAGAAGTAGGGGAGGGATTGCAATATACGCGAGGAGTAACTTGAACATCATCGATGTTTACAGATCAAAGCTTTACGAGCTGCTGTATGTGATTTTTAAATTACCCTCGGGGACATTTGTTGTTAACGTGTGGTTTTGATCACCCGATAATACGATACTTAACCCACTTAACGGACAATGCACTTGGCGGATCAGTTTCTTAGCTTGCCAGCCGCAATCGCATGACATGCAATCCAACAAAATGCAAGGAGATTATTTTCCGTAAGAAAGGTTTCAATCAGGACATCGCGCCAGTTAAGTATATACCCCAGTGTGCAGAGTTATCCATATTACGTATTACTTTCCAACAAAATTGTAAATACAGTAGTCACGTGCGCGCGAAGGTAATTAAGGCGAACAAGTCATTATTCATATTAGGATCTTTACGTAAGGAAGGAATGTCCCAGAAGGAAGTAGATCATCTTTTTAATGCTATAGCTTTACCAAATTTTGTTTTTGCCCGGCCGGTTTATGGAGCCTCAGACTCCGACCTTTCTATAATACAGAATTTTTTGGACCGGTGTTTGAAAAGGAAGTTTATGTCCAAGAATGTAGATATCAGGGATTTGCTAGAGAAGGCGGACAAGGCACTCTACAAAAAAAGATCGAATGACCCCGAATGCCCGTTTTTCCACTGTTTTCCTAAGGAAAAGAACATGAGGTACAATCTTAGAAATACGTCAGTCTCTGTCCCAAGAGTCCACACTGAAAGGTTTAAGAAAGTTTTTAGTGATAGGATAATTTTTAAATATGACATGTAATAGTTTCCCTTATGAGTTTATGTTGTAACTTAGGATATGTGATTTTATCTTAAGAAATAAAGATTATGTTATGTTAAGTCTATTGAGGAAGACACAAAAGGTGTCGTCAACATAACGCCTATAAAGTAGGCGAGTCGAATGGTTAGAATTATTTAGCCATGTTTCCTCGTGGAAACCAAGAAAAAGATTAGCTATGATGGGTGCTAACGGAGAACCCATCGCAACCCCATCAACTTGATCATAAAAATTTCCATTAAAACGGAAAATGAGTCTCAGCTGTAGCAAATAAAAACAGTTTCTTAAGGTCGGATTTTTTGATCGAAAATTTAGGGTTATGCTTGAAAATAAGATCAACAGCAATATCCATAGTTTCATTTAACGGAATATTGGTAAAAAGACTTTCAACATCAAAGGAAATGAGAAAGTTTTTGTTGAGATCGAAACTCCTGAGCTCTTCAACAAAAGAGAATGAATCTGACCGAATACTTACTAGGTAAAAGTGGAGCAAGAATAGAACTTAAATACTTGGCTAAATTATAATTATAAGCTCCAATAGAAGATACAATAGGTCTAAGAGGTGGTTGATTGTGAATTTCACGTTTCCTATGTAATTTGGGAAGGCCATAAAATTTTGCTGCTTGTGAACCCTTAGGAAAAATCTTAGTATAGGTATCATTATCAATAGAATGCTTTTTCTCAAGTAAACTAATGAAACGCTTAAGTCTGCCTTCTCTTAATTAAGTGGGATCTTTGTCAAGTAGTTTGAATTTAGATTTATCATTAAGTACATTTTCATCTACTTGTATGCTATATAATTACTCACGTTCTCAAAAATTTTGTCTATTTCTTACAATATTTATCATACTTGCTATTACGACGACCTTATAGAAATTTCAGAACTTGTTGATTAACATGTGAGCAATATTATATTCAGTTTCGAAAGTCTACAAATTTCACCTTGTTGGTGCAAGAAAAATTTATTCCAACATAGCACAATTTGTTCTTATACGGCAAAATTTAACATTTCATTTAAACATCCTGAACAAATGTATACCTCTCTTCATAAAATATCATATACCCTTTGTGTAAAGTAGAAAAAGGCTATCAAAGCCACTGAAACACCTCTTTCGTTTTTTCTTCAAACAGACAAAATTTTTGTAGGAAGAGATCTAAGATTCAGGGTGTGGAAGAAAAACACACAGTCGCAATCGTCTGTTATACGAGGCCAAGAGGAACTTTAATTTTGTACGAATCTTTGTCCCCATTCGTGAAATCCTTTAATTTGTATCCTTTAATTTGTTTACTCATCTTTGGGCCTGTGGCTGCCCTCCACCCGAGTTGCTGTTCGAGGGCTTTTTATCCTTTGTCATTGGCCACCGCATATATTGGGGCGTTTGTAGGACTGTTAGAGTATCGAACCTCTATGCTGTTAGAATACAGTGGGCCTTCATTATCGTCACATGGATCTGGACCCTCTAAGACATTATACACAGGGTCTTTGGCAGTCAATTGAGAGTAAACATCTCCTCCTCCCTCTATAAAACCTTGGCTGGACCTTTCAAGGACATTGTAAACATGGCCATCTGTAGGAGGAGAAGGAGAAGCGTCGTATAGATAGGGTCCCTCCAAAGTGCTGTAAAATGTATCTCCAACGGGCACGGACCCATACCACGAAGCCCTGTCTGCTTCTATTGCACTATTTTCATCTACTTCGTTGTACACTGGTTCCGATTGATTTGGAGCATTGCCAACGGGTTCTTGAATTTCTGTTAGGTCTTCCACGGCGAAGTACAAAGGGTTGTCTGAAGTTAAAGTTTCAGAATTTCCTTGCGGTAGGGGACCCCTCTTTTTATCATCGATAACAGGAATCTAACGAGAAAAATTGCAAACACTACGTTGTAATTTGGAGCTGAGGGTTGACTCTTCTCTATAGGTTCTAAGTAACATGTTGGAAAATATTCTTAACAGTAGCTCTTCAAAGTCGCCAAAGTTATTAATTTACTGAATCTGAAGTGTTTCCTTTGCCTACAGCACATCACAGCTACCTCAATAAAAGACAAAATATGTCCTACCGTTCAAGACGTAACGACTTCTTTCTTCCAGCTGAAACGCTTGGTTTGTCCTTGAGTTGCACGTGGTGGTGTTCTAGCAAAATGAAGTGAGCATTTGTTACTGTAAGACTCGGCCAGTAAACAGAGAGCCAACCGATATGGTTATGGTGGAGAGAGAGCATATAGCTGAGAGAAACCTTCATTTAGGTTCATTTAGGACTTATTCCAAACGTTATCACACTCGAGTAATTTCTGGACTCGAGCCATACGGTATTCCACGAGTAAAAATAAATATTATTACAATGGAAACCGGGTCGCTGAATAATCATCATCGCCATGCGACTATGTCTATTGACTCCCTTGTAACATCCCAAAACGGCAGTACATTAATACCCGGAGAATATATTGATCAAGGGAGATAATCCTGAATGAGTAGTTTCAGCGACAGTTCTCTTTAACCTGACTGTATACAAAGTACAAAAGCATTCCAGCAACTTTGTTATGACTGATCAACAAGAAAAAAAACAATTGACTATAAGATTTTCGGGCTTTCAAAACCATACCTCAGTGCTTATTAGGACTAAGGACGATTGAAGTTTATAGGGAGGATCCGGTCTTTTCTCACACTAAGCAAGATAAAACTCATCATTTCCGCTATTGACAATGTAATTTGTTTTCTACCTCATTGCCTACTTGACCATCGGTAATCGTGTAGCTAGCGTTTCTGTGAACAAAAAAAACAGTACTTGTCATTAAAATCAATCACAGAATCAAAGATTCGGTGGAAAGTGGTAGTTTAGAAATCTATATTGCAAGTCTTAGCGAACGGAAAAGCGATGAGCAAAACATAGGGTTTACAAATAGACGAGTTCTATTATTAAACAGTATGCAATAGATTTTGGACGCCAAACATTCCAGGGGTTAAAACCAGTGGCCTTGGAATCTGTCGGGGTTTCCTGATATCAAGAGATCATCATAGGATCTTGAGCACTTTCATTAAATTTCAGAGTTTAACTCTGTTTCATAAGGGCGATCAGTAAACAAGTTCTCGTAGAAGGCAACGGGTATTTTACAAAGTGCCGAACAGAAATGTAATGGAAATTATTGATCGATGGGTTGTTCAGCGTCTTAGTATAATTCCAGGTTCTTGGGAATGTCCAAAATGATTGAGCGAGCGGATTAAGCTTTTTAGATCTTAGATAGATAAAACAACTCGGCAGCAGAAACGTTACACGAAACATCACACGAATTGGTGTTGTCCTAGCATTATTCTATCGTCTGGTTGAAGGAAAAAAAGCGTGGATAGCGCGCCAACAAAGTAGTACTTCTCACTTCTGCCAATACAACAACCCAACGACGGTTTCTCCTGTGATAAACTGTGGCCGTGCACAAGTCGTCAGGGATGCTCTGAATTTCGTGATTCAAAATGTGTCCACCACTACTTAAAGCTTAAGAGAGATTTCATAAATTGGATACGCTAAATTTAATCGAGTATGTATAATCCACCTTAAGTACTAACATAATACACAATTACACGTAACCTAAGATGCAGACAAATTCTAACTTGGCAATCATCACCTGGATCTTCGACGTCGATAGATGATTAGAGCAGTAATCAGCAACGACAAAATTATGACGGCAACAATCACTCCGGCAATGATGCCAACATTTATTGAAGAGGAGTCAACATCGTTGCTTTTCTTCTTTTTTCCTGGGGTAGCTCGAGAGGATATCTGCGTGAAAATGAGCGGGAAGGATCGTAAAGCGGCAATCAAGTTGGAATAACACATGGAACCAAATGCTAGGGAACAAATATGTTTGGAACATCGTCAATTCCAAAGGTTACGAAGACATTCTGACAGATTTAATTATCTAATTTCCAAACACTGCTTTACGATGCAAACATATTAATCTACGCTACAAACTGAGCAGAGATTAGAATATTTTAACTCTTTTCCAAACTTTATTTGCCAACCTCAGCTGCATCTTTAATATCCTATATACATTTGCTTTCAAGTGCGTATGATGAGATACTCATACCTGTGTTGGGTAAATAGTCTCATTAGTAACCTTACTCTGTCGAGATAAACAGTTAAAACGGATCAATATCTTTTTAATTAGTTATCTGCGAAATAAAGGTATTTCAAACTGAGCAGAGATTAGAAGATTTTAACTCGTTTTCGAGCTTTATTTAACAACCTCAGTTGCATCATGAACATCGTAAACATATACTTTCAAGTGCGTATGATGAGATACTCAGACCTGTGTTGGGTCAATCTTCTCTTCAGTGACCTTCGTCTGTCGAGATAAACAGTTAAAACGGATCAATATCGTTTTAGTTATTTGCGAAATAAAGGCATTTCAGCTATAGGAAAAAAGTGAAGCTTTCGAGTGGACACCATTTCGATCAGACATTCCCATTTGCTTTCAACTTGGACTGAACATGGTCCTCTTACTAAGCAGGAAGCATTCGAACTGTCATCAGGCAAAGGGAGGACGATTATGCCTATGAAGATAACTGGCATTGTTTTCGCAAAGGATTTCTCTATTGATAGTTATCTTAAAGCCAGTTTCCTCGATGTGGGAGGCAGCTCTACCGAACGTGCTCACGTTGTCTCCTCGTATCAACCTACAATTTGTTTGTAATCTCAAATACTGTAAACTAAGAAGTCTTTGGTCTGTGCAGTAATGGATTACAGAAGACGCCGAAATGTGGAAAGAAAATCAGTGACACACAGCGTTTTTCGTTTTTGACCACATTTCGACGTCATTTGGGATTTACCACTGAAAAGACGCACGGTAACAAATATTTGCTGTGGCTCCTATTTACAATATATCTAATGAAATCCCACCGCAGAAGGTGATGTAAGCTCCAAGGATGATGTTGCAGGACTAAGCGTTGACCCCATTGAATATTTAACGGGACCTGCAAAACAAAGAGATTGAGAAACGTTCAGTTTACGTCTATGTTCGCCAGACCCATGTTCTTGCAGGAAGGATGACTTCGGCTAACACGAGCTGCATACAGAACAGAATGTGTGGCATAGGCTTTGATTCGTCCCAAACCAATTGAAGAAATGAAAAAAAAAAAAAAAACTATAGAAAATTGTTGCAACGAGTCTGGTTTTTTGGAAGATGTATATTGTTATTCACCTAGTAAATCACTAGCCAGCGTGGAAGCTTTGAGATAAACGTACCATCGTACCAAGCGATCTGTCTGGAAGTGTTTTATTCGGGGAACAGCCGTAGTAAAAACAATCAACATGAGCGGATGGCCTTACGCAGTTAGGAAAGTGTTATTTTGCAATGTCCATCAAAGTATATCAAAGATGAGCTTACAGGTGATGTTTCCTTCCAGTTTGAAGAGTAGACAGCCTTCTTTGATGTCAGCAGGAGGTTGGGAGCAGCTTACTCCCAGATTTATTATTCTTCCCCGAAAAATGGCGATTGGATCAACCACCTGTTGGTTAGAAAACGAAACCGAATCTAAAGTACATGTAACAGAATAAATTTCGTAAAACTATGAAGAGAGTGACACATTGAGTACTGGGTAGTTTTTTGTATCGGGAAATCTGATTGGCCTTCCCCAAAATAATCTGAAAAAGTGTAGAAATTATCGGCTATTCGTGGTTAGCACAAATCCAAGAGTCATATTAATCCTGTCATCGTATGCAATGAACAAAGTAAATCGGTTCTTTTCGTGGAGACGCAATAGACTAAAACCGTGGCATTTTTTATTCAAATTATACAGTTCTGTTAATCAGTCATAATAACCAGCTAAAGATAACAAACACCAATTGACTTTCAAAACCTAAATGGTGGGTGTGATACTAACGTTTACATTGTAACTGGTAACTGAGAGCACGGCCTTAAATGATTTGAGGACGAAAACAAGAGTAGGTCCTCTCTTAACTGGAAAACTTCCAGATCAGAAAGATTTCTCCTGAAGAAGAAGAAGAACAAGAGAAGGAAGAAGAAAAGAAGGAAGAAGAAGAAGAGGAAGAAGAAGAAGAAGAAGAAGAAGAAGAAGAAGAAAAGGAAGAAGAACAAGAAGTAGAACAAGAAAGAGCAGAGGGAGAAGAAGAACAAGAACAAGAAGGAGAAGATGAAGACGAAGAAAAAGAAAAAGAAGAAGACGAGAGAGAAGAAGAAGAAGCAGAAGAAGAAGGAGGAGAAGAAAAAGAAGTAGACGACGACGAAGAAGAAGTAAAGGAAGGATAGGGACGAATAAATGGAGGTCCCGTCTTCTGCAGGGTTAGGGGTAGGAGACGTTAATTTCCCACGCACGAGATTACTGTGTGCTGGATCTCCTCCACTGAGGTAGGATGGGTGGGTTTACTGGGCCCGCAGTAATTGCGCAAGCTGTCGTGATGTCCCTGCCTGTCGGCGAGTCTAATAAACTAAAACTAAAACTAAGTAGTGGTAGAAGAAGAAGAAGAAGAAGAAGAAGAAGAAGAAGAAGAAGAAGAAGAGGAAGGAGAAAAAGAAGAAGAAGAAGAAGAAGAAGAAGAAGAAGAAGAAGGAGGAGAAGAAGAAGAAGAGTAGGAGGAAGAAGAAGAAGAAGGAGGAGGAGAAGAAGAAGAAGAAGAAGAAGAAGAAGAAGAAGAAGAAGAAGAAGAAGAATCCAAGGTTATGGTCAAGGAAAGTTGACTGAAAAAATTGTTATAACCTTTATATAGTATGCATTACTCTTGTTTCTCCATCCAAGGAAGAATATTTTCTTTGTTCTATTAGTAAGATTGTCAACAGGAGTCTTTTCCCCATGACATCCAATAACCCACGAAGAACTAGTGTTTAAAACACAGGAGGCCTCCTCGTTGTACAATGTTGTTTTTCTTCCCCAACTCGGCTGAGTGCTCAGTGTGTATAAACCATGCCACTCTCTTTCATGATGAAATAGGTTGTTGATTGCACATCCTGTTCGTAGTAGCAAATCAGAAGAAATTAACGTTAACTACACGTTCATGCAACTCATTGGGTAAGTGTTTGAATACAATGGGATCACTACTCAGATACTTTAAGCCAGCTGAAATAACTGGATTCCCACTCAGAATGCTCAGCTACAAATCCATATATTAACGGGATGCATGCAGGATGGGGATGCACTTAACTTCGCTTTTGATGGTTTTGGTAAAACAAGCCGGAGATTACTTTAATTTACTCCCATGAGTGACCACGAAAGGATAACTCACTGATAACAATTTTCTTTTGGAATAAGAAGAAAGAAAAATGAGGGGATATATGTACAAAGTTTGATTCAATACCGCATTCTTAAAACATAATTATGAGAAATGTTTGGTATACGGTATGGAGAATATAGCTGTTGAGAGGAAAAAGGCTGAAAGAGCTACATATAACGGCTCGTGCAAGGCAAGTTTAACCCGATTTGGTTAAGTTCGTCATTCTTCATCCTTTTAAATTTCCTCCGTCTTTCTTTTTGGTGTGATTTTTTTATTTTTTTTTTTTATGTTTTAATGCCCTAGCAAATCACTATTCTGTGTCTTAGATGAGTTTTCAAGGGAGGTTTTACATTCTGTAAAACGACTAAACATACCGTGACATGCATTAAATTGCATGACTTTGCGATAAATCCAATTCAAGTCGCTCTTTAAAGAAATAATTCGAAAGGTTAAAGGTCACATCCTTTGCAGTTTCATACATCTGTTGAATATGAAAATATTTTTCAGCTCCAAATGTTGCTCGATGTATTTACGGTCGCTTTTCTTTAAAATCGATAAGTGTTTTCACTTAGAATGGAGAGTAAACCTTCACAAGCACATTATTACGACCCGATCGTTACAATTTGGAAACTTCCGTTTCCACGCCTCAAGTATTATCGCGAATATCGAAATTCTACATGTTTGAGGGTCTCAAATCAGAAAAAAAGAAAAAAGCAAAAAAAAAAAAATTGCACAATAAAATGTTTCGTACACCAGAAACTCGAGTAGGGAGTACCACCACGATCAACGTCTCGTAAAATGTTTAATCGCGAAGAATAAATAACTGAAAGGAGTCGTCTATCAGCTTCAAGTATTTCCGTTGTCATTCGGGTTGCGAAACATCGATTCATATACTTCTATTTTTAACATACTCACCGAGTTTCTTTCGCACCATCTTATTCTCTAGACATATCCATGTATTATTCACATAAGTTACAGTGGCAGATTTCCAAGGACAGTCACACGAATACTGTTCTTTTGAGTCATCTTTTGTGCAAGACTCGTTGCAGTAATTACTACCAGTTCCAATTCTCCCTTGGTAACATGCCGACGACGGAACGACAAACGAGTCATTCACCTTTTTCCAAGTTTGTTGGTCTTTAGGTTGCGAAATAAGCCTACTGATCAGAACAGATCCTGGGATAATGACATCAATGGAAGATAGAAAGACTACCATAAAGAACTTCGCTCGTGATACTTCCATTTCCTTCAACCACTCAAGCACGTCCTATGACTCCTTATTTAGGGTTCGCACATGATCAGGACAGGTTCATCCGGTTGGCGTACGTTTAGAAGGGAACCCTGGTCCTCACATGACTTCATTCTTCTAGAACCTCTAGCCCTCAACATAGTTAGAGCATTCGTTATGATTTCCATTCCGGAATGTGATCTACTACTCAGTGTCGCGTTAGACGACACCTCAGTCATCCGATGTGAGGATATCAGGTTTTGCTGGAAGGTAAGGAGTGGATGGGACTTCAATCTGAACTTCGGACTGGGCTCGACTAGACAAGTTTTGGACTGGACCGACACTAAAGCCAAGTTTTATGAGAATAAAACTATGCACATAAAAGAATGTTGTAGCGTAAATATACATTCATATATGATAAATTTTCTTCGATGGTTTAACATATAATACAAACGGAAATTTTGGTAATTTCTAGCAATTTTCCACTCCCCTTCAGGGCTCGGAGCCAATGCAACTCGCAAAATACCCACGCGTATGTTAAATCATCGAAAAAGGAATTTATTGTTCCGCTATCGTTTCACTTTTTAGTACTTTGATTTTAGTTCTCGAAACACATCCTACGGTCATATTTGTACATCGTTTCGATCGCATGAGGAGTACGCGAAGGACGAAAACAACACGAAGCCATAAAAGTGTTCTTCGTGACCAACAAAAAATCTGTCGAGCTTAAAAATTCGCTCTCTACAAAGTCAAGTCTAAAACAGGAGAATAAAAAGTTTGGATCGTTTAGTGCGGCCAATTTTTTTGCTCCATATTTTTTCCTTGTTCAACAGTGTAATACCGAGACATATTTTACGCCTTCTAATTACCGTTTTTGTTAAAATGACACAAACCTGGAATAATAAATACGAAGTAAATCATTTTAAGAAAGAGAATTATCTACATAGAGTGTCTTGTTACCTATTCATCTCTGTCATCCGATGAGGTAGTTAATATTCGGTTTTGCTGGAAATAAAAATGTAGATCGAGCTCGCAACTAAATTCTAGACTGGACTGATATTGATGACCCAGTTTTATTGAAGAGAAATTATAAACATTAGGAAAGGTTAAAAGGATACAGATAAATATAGCGGAAACTGATTTAAGCCAAAGAAGACGGCAGTCGGAAAATCTTGAGTCTATCAGATGTTAAAGTAGTATGCTCGACAATTTTAAATTTACACGTAGGAGAAATATCAATGTGTAGGATTTAGAATTTATCCCACAAAGTACTACTAGATTAGATTTTTCTTAAAATAACGAGATTCCGATTGGCCTTTTTTATATAGACATTGAAGAAATGTTTATTGTAGCTGTGATATATGATCTTCGTGATACAAAGTATCTTCCTGAATCAGGCCTAAGATTGTACAGGGTAACTGTGGGATAAATAAGCCAACCTGGGAGTTACTCCGCGTTAATGACATTTAAAAATAGAAAGTTTAATAGTCCTTTTTACAGTTGTGGGCTTGTTGGCCAAGCCTTTGAACAGGAGTGAGACTAAGGGTGACCCTGTTGTGATAGAGACCTGTATCTAGTTAGCATGATAACAAAGAAATTTGCATTTGAAAAGCAGCAACATCTCTATCATAACAAGGTCACCCCAAGCCTCACTCCTGTTCAAAGACTTGGCCACCAAGCCCACAACTGTAAAAAGGACTATTGTCAACCAATGTTTCTGCCAAATTAAGCTAATGAATCTCGAAGCATCGCATTTCCTTGATCGTCCTCTATCTGTATGACTCTGTGATCTGTCAAAAGGGACAGTGACATAACTCATGGATGATAGAAAGCAGTCTTTTTGAAGCATTAAATGTTGCACTCAGTGAGAAATGTTAGATGTGTGCTACTTAGTTACTTCAAATTTCGCACATTTATGTGTCTGGGCAACTTAAAGTAGATGAATTCGCAAAACGCGCACTTTAACAGATCTTAAAGTGCCCAATTTACTAATGTAAAAAATGCGCACTTTTGTAAGTTTCAAAAGTATACACCATGATCTAAAAGAAACGAGTTCTAATAGAGCCCATTAAGGCAGGTCCTGGCGCTTTTTATTGAACTTTAATTAGGATCAAGTTCTACAGTGTTAACTCTAACAAATGTCACGGTGTGCATTTGAAAGAGTTCTGATATGCACAGTTCACCAATCTTTAAACAACAGACTTCACTTAAAAAAAATAACATACGTCACTTTATAAAAACATAGGCATGATACGTATGGAGGAGTTATTTTTTTTGGATACGTAGGGTGAAATAGGACGCTATATAACTGATGCTGGTGTCTGAGTAATTCTTGGCAAAAATGAACTGCATTGGTACAACGCTTCCTGCAGTCGCCTCCACAGCCCTAATTTGAACTTGTCACGCAACGCTCTCTCTCTCTCTCTCCAACTTTGCATGACGAGACCAAACAACGACTTGCTCATAGGTTAAAATTGTGCTTATTGCCGTTCCTTCGCCAGAGACAAAACCCTAGTTATTATTATGACCATTAAGGGCCAGAATCAGAAATTCCGTTTGGTTTTTCCTGTGCAAGAAAATGCACAATAGCGCGCAGTTTTTAATCAGCGTAATGTAATATCCGAATACTTGTCGACATATTCGACATATCAGAAATTCCGTTTGGTTTTTC